AAAGAGAAAAAGTGAAAAAGAGAGAGTGAGAGAAAGAGTGAGAGAAAGAGTGAGAGAAAAAGAGAGAGAGAGAGAGAAAGAGAGAGATGAGAAGAGGAGGGAAGAAGGTTGGCATTTGTGTTGAGGTAATGTGTTATGCTTCATCTTTCAGGTGTTTTTTCATTGAATTAAACGAACGTTTGATGATTTCCGAAGACATAAGTCGAAATAAAAATATGCCACATTACTATATAATATATTGTTTGTGTTTGTTTGTGTGTTTGAGTGTTTGTGTGTTTGTGGGTAGTACGGAATATGTGAACACTTATTAAAAATTATGTATCCCAACAAACCTTTGCATTACTTTTTGTGATGAAATTTTAAATATTTGTGGGAATAAGTGTGTGCAAGTGGGAGAAGTTCATACAGTCTTTGAATGTTTCCACTTCTTGAGTTTTTTTTTATTCTTTCTTTGATAGTAATTGATGAAAAAAATATCACCTCCGCCAAGCACATTGATGAAAATTTAATATTTATCACACAATCACACTAATTATTATAGAAATGCGCTATGGTGACATGCAACAAACATGAAAGAAAGTTTTAAATAATTTAACATATTTTAAAAACATGCCCAGTAATCCAACAATGAACAGTTATAAAAAGGTAACCTCATTTACTGCATTTTTACCTATAATTAAACCGACAAACATCCGATGTTATGTAACAGCTAAGTTAATAACAACAACCGCAAAATGTAAGAAATGTCGTTGGATGTTCTCAAAACAGTATCAGGTACAATAATGCTACAAAAAATAAACATTACGATATCAAAACAAAACTACATATCAAATCTACAATTGAACAATTGGGCACCACAACAACAACCCCAATAAAAACATCAGCAACAACAACAACAACCACAACTAAACAAGAGCATCAGCAGCAGCAACAACAGCAGCACAACTGCAATTGAAGTTTACTCCTTTATAATCTCCATTCCATGTGTTGTCTCTATAAGGCTAGAAGGTCAATGACGTGACCAGCAAATCAATGATCTCGGGTCATAGGTCAAACTTGAGATAGTGACAGCTTACAGTGAGAGTGTACAAAAAAGCAAGAGAAATGTGTGCAAGTGAGAGAATATAGATATGTCTTTGTTGGGTCAATTCATTTTTAATGAACTAAATTTTTGAAAAAAATTAATTTTTCAATTATTATTTTCCTAGTTTAATTTTTAATCTGTGGTATTGTAAATTTGTGATATTTTTTATGAAAATTGTAATTTGTAGTTGTGTTAGTAGTTTTTTTGAAATGTTAGCACTCTACGCATACGAATGTGTACCTGTTTATTCGTTTGGGGTGTAAAATATTATCTTGATGATTTCATTTCGATTCTACTAGATCAATTTTAATTTTAATTACATAAAACTTCCAAGAATGGTATTGAAGTCACTGCAAAAGTATATTTATACTACAACTACTCACTTCTCTACTGTTAAAAATGTTGCGGTAACAACCAAACAGCTACTGCGATTTCTTCCAATTAATATACTTACTACTCTGCCTACTACTACTACACTACCACCTACTACTACACCACCTACTACTGCAGGTTTTATCCCTATTCCTCCACTGCTGCCACAATACTTACTACTACTACTCCTTCGCTACAATTTTTGTCGTGTTAATAGTGGATCAGTTGGTTACAAAGACGCCATTAATCATGCACCATTATGTTCAGTAGCAGGAGATAACAATCACCTCAACACTATAAAACGTCTTCGTTTTGTTTCATATTTTGTTTCGGGTTTTTTGAGAAATTATTTTGCAATGATTTGATAAACATTATTCATAGGCGTTTCATATCAGATATTTCAATCGCTTTCAAGTTCAGCTTACTATTTCAATCAGGTAATGAATTTATTGATACGAACTGCAAAAATTATATCTTCACATACAAATGAAACTTTTAATGACTGCTGCACATATCTACAAAAAATTTGGAACATAAAATCTATTTGTTTATACTCAGAATATAAACAAGTTTTTTGTAAACATGGAAGATTCATGTCTTGCATTCAAGTTTTAATAGCATAAATTTAAACGTGTTGATTCCCGAGAAAAAAAATAAACAAAATGACTGAATGAATAAACAATTTAAAATGAAAAAATAATCTCAATAAATCATAGAAAACATATAAAAAATAAAAATTAATTAAAAATAATTCTATTAAAAAATGAATATAAACGAGCGATCAAAGGAATAGATGATCAGAGGTGCGTATGGTGATGAGTGCGTTAGCGCACGACAGCGCGCATTCCTCATGTACCCACCAGCGTTTTTATTGTCAGATCTGAAATAATGCCCCTGTTGTTGTTGTCGCGTTGTTGTTGTTGTGTTGTTAATACGATGATGGAATGATGTCATTTTGATGTGACGATGTAGCATTTTAGCAGTATTGCTCGGTCATGTCATTCCGTTGGAATATTTAAAGTATTTAATCATCAACTACAGTATTGAGATAAAGTTTTCTTTGAATTATGAATTCAGGACATGCAATGATTTTTTCATTCTTCGGCGTCTACATTGAAAGCAGTGCATTTTTGCATACGGACAAAAGAATAATCAAACCAGCACATACAGTACATGCACAAACACACCACACAAACACACACACCACAAACACCACAAACACACACACACCACACACACGCACACTTTTACACATTTTTACAAACAAACATACACAAACAAACGCATATATAAATTCACACAAGCACCAAACAAATGTAAATACACATACATAACTATACAGAATACGTATATAAGACGCATATGCATTTGAAAATTAGAAATCTAATTTACTTAGATTTATTTGTATTAATAAATCTCTGGCTAATGCGCACTGCACATATACATTATGCTATATTGTACTTATTCATTTTAGATGCCACATATTCAATATATGTATTTGTATGTATATAAACACAAAGATTCGTTTTTATCTATATTTATTTTCTAAATAAATATATTTATATATATCGCTCTCTCTCTTTCTCTCTCTTTCTCCTTTTTTTTTCAAACACACATAAAAACACACACGCACAAATAAATGACGCACACACACACACACACACACACACAGATACAAACATGAATACAGATATTAGAAACATCAATAACAAAATATTGAAAAGTGCTTCGACTTGTACTTTGGAAATACACAGTGCATTCGCACTGAAGAGAAGATAACTTGGGATGAATGTAGCAGTGGATGAACGAATGAACTGAGAAGTGAATGAAAAGATGAATAAGTGAAAGAATGGATTAGGAAATGAATGAAGGAATGGATAAATAAAAGAAAAATGCTTGAATGGAAGAATTTGAAGGCGATTTGAAATGAAAGGTCTCTGATGCGATTAAAAATGGTTTTTAAAATTTTTTTATATTCCATCTATCTATATACATTTTTCTAATCTATTTAATTTTTTTAGTTTTTTTTTGTTTTGCTTTATTTTGAGAATGTTTTTCATTTCTTGATCATTTTTTCATTTGTGAAACCATTTAATTTTTTGTTGAAGTTATTTGAGCTAGTGCATTTCTTTCAAAAGTTAAACTATTGCCGTTAAGCCGCTGCAAATGCGTGAATTCAAAAAAACGTTACAACTAACAAAAGAATATACGTAATAATATTTAAAATACGAAAAAAGACATTTCTAACAAGCACACAAACAAACATTTGAAGATTTTTTTTTTGTTGAAATTGCAATAAGGCAAGCAAATCCGCCCAAATTATTGAAGAAGATGCTTTTCTAAGTACTTAGTGTCTATCATTTATTTATCCATCTTCTATTTATTTTATGTCATGGCTACATATTGTTTAGAGCAATTTGTATTTGTGGGTATATGAATTGTGTATGAATTGTCTGTGTGTATGTACTCACGAATGTTGATCTACACACGTACGATGAAAAGTCGCCATTTATGAACTTTGTTACTAAAACGTTGGACGGCTGCTGAATTTTATTTTTATAGACATCTATCTTCAAACTATTTAAATCGTCAATAAATCAAAGAAGATACGTGATTTTTTAATGATATTAAATGAATTTTCCATTTAAAATTATTTGAATTATTTTATTGCGTGATTTTTTAATGATATTAAATGAATTTTCCATTTAAAATTATTTGAATTATTTTATTGCGTGCGCTATGTTTATTTACAAATTAAGATCTACATATAAAACGTATGTATGGTTTCATATTTTATAATGGCACACGCAAGTAACGCTATTTTTTGCGTTACTTTAGTTTGATTTTGTGGAGAGGCGCGTACATCACATTCGATAAATTTCTGCATTCTTAACTGAATTATTGTATTATGCTCCTTCATATTCATGGCTTAACTAGGCGCTCGTATGTGGCTTGAATATCTGGGTTTCCATATCCAGGTCTCAATATGAGGGATTGTGTCTGTTTGGTTTGCATTTATATGTGCTTTCTTTTTATGGTTGTGTTGTATATACTGATGATTTATGGTCATTTTATAAAATCATCGAATGTTTATTTCATTTACAATCCATTTTTGTTGGAGAATGTGAGCGAACGAAACCAATTAACCTATTAACCTACACACACACACGCACGCACATGCGCACACACATCCGCACCTGCACACACAATGTATATATATATATATATATATATATATATATATATATATATATATATATATATATATATTAGGGTGGAGCGAATTTATACATAAAAAAATTTTTTTCTTCTTTTTACTTTTCCTGGGGTTGGGAAATATGTCTTTTATCGAGTTATTTCAATGTGTAAATTTTGAATTTTATTGAACATTGTTTTGAGGTTCCTCTCGGCTGGAGACTGTTTATGAATTGCATTTCAAAAGTAAACAAAACAATATCATCAAATTAAACATGTTATTAACTCAAATAAATCATTTAAATCTTGAAAAACAAAACATTAGTGTTTACTAGTTCACATCAAAGACTTAAATAATGAAGTGTTTTTTAGTTTCAAATTTTGGTATATCATTTTGAGATGCAAGTTTAGTACGAATAAAGCCATCTCTTGCTTTTTCTCCACAAACTGAAAGTGACGCTTCTGTAACTAATTTTATCATTCTTTCTACTGCCTGAGTATGGCAAGGCAACTTCAAAAATTCAATGTTATTAGGAATATCCATTATCATCTGTTCTAAAGCTTCAGTTGTGATATCTTTTGTAAGGGGTGGCTCTGTGATCTCGGTTGCATGCCAATCGATCATGTCGTAATAGTTGATCGCATCAAAGTTTAGCTTTGGAACTTTGAAGACTCGAACAGTATTTAGAGTGGCATCATTAGCTCTGCATTTTAATATCCGCCTTAAAGCTAATTCCCTTATGTGCTTTTGTTCATCAGCCAACATCGATAACAGAATATTTTCCGGGTGAGCAAAATAAGCATTTCTTTGTAAAACCGGATTTAATAAATTTTTTAACTCTTCAGGTAAATAACGACACTTTTTAATAATTCCAAAAAAATGATTTGATCCTGTTTTATTGGTAGGTTTCAGCTTTATTTCAAACCAACTAGGAGCATATACCTTCATCACATACTGAGCTAACACTTTTAATGCCGTTGACGGATTTTGAACAGCAACATATAATCTAAGAATACGGTTAGCAGTTGTTATCCAGCGCGAATGTGACATTTTTCCAGGATTACGGAGAGACAAAGATAGCGGTATATCTCCTTTCATAATTCCATTACATATATCAAAAAGGTAAGTTTGGTCGGTGCTCAAATCATTTTGATGAATTGAGGGTAATTCAGTTTCAATAGGTTCAAAAGCAGCAATAGAAAGTTTTTCACAGTTTTCCAACATTTTTCCAATTTCACCAGAGAAGCATCTTGGATTGCTTGTTTTTCCATCTAGGAATTGAATTAAATGGCGAAGAGGCAATTCATTGGTGTGCAGCAAGCAAATGTGCCATTGTAATGGACGACCTATGAACAATTCTAGTTGCCTTATAACACCATCGATTGGATATTCCAGTTCGATCACACACTTGGGCTAAGTTAGGCAATTTAACACTTTTTCTAAAATTTGATGGAGAAGGTCTTCTAAGCTGGCTTGGTGTGGATGGTTTATACTCTTCTGAAGAGTCAGGTGGAAAATTGATTTGTTTTATTTCTTCAACTTCATCGAAAGCCAGGTTGTCACATTTCTGTTTTTTTGCACAAGGACCTTCAATCTTCGACAATCTGGCTTCTTCTTTGGCTTTTCTCGCCAGACTTTTCTGTAGACTTTGACTAATTTTTTTATCTGTATTGCCAATTATCATCTTACGCACTGTTCTTTGGTCGGTTAAAAAATCTCTTTCTCTTTTAGGCACTTTGTTTTTACAAAAACAATTATCAAAATCTTCACCACACTTGCATGCAGATATGTCAAACAAAGTTTTCTCACTGACTTCTCTAAACGCGAGCGTTTTTTCTTGCGACTTTCTCATGTTCTTTTTTATTGATTTATATTTTTGATTCAGATTTGCTATCAAGCTTAAAATTCTTTGATCTGAAATGATTGGAATTGATGCTTTTTGCCAGATCTGTTTTAATTCGGTTAAAATAAGTCGCGAAATGTTATTA